GCATATAAGCTGGAAACCTCTTAGTAAATTTTTAGCACATTAATTCGTCCGGTTACTGACTTAAAAGTGAGGGGCAAAACAGGATCACACACACACACACACACAAACACACACAAATACACAGTTTCTCGACAGTACGCTTTGTTGCATTTCTCAGTGATGCAAAAAACGCACAGTTTTCGTCGGATCAGCGCATCGGCACTGTCGTGTATTTTTGCTGCTAGATATTGTGCGCACAGAGCAATAGAAGGCGTCGACGCATGCGAAAGGTATCAAAGTACTGGAATTTGATAGCAGTTTTGAAGAAACCGGCCTGCAGTTGTATTTAGTGTCATTGGATCTGGGAGTTGGTTACAGCTTGTGTTAAAAGTCGAAATCGCGTCTGTGTTTGTTCTCTGTGGTAAGCGAAAGCTTTCGAAAAATGTCCGAGTGCTAGCAGATGCCAACAGCAGTCATCCTCTAGCAAGGCTTTCAGTAGTCCGCTCTTCCGAGGGCTGCTCCGAGTTCCTTATATTACACATTGAATATGAGGTGCTATACATAAGTGCTTTTAAGTTGCTGATTTTGGCCTTAAAATCGCAAATTAAGACAAAGAAAAATTTGAAAGATGGTTTCCAACTGCGTATCCTTATGGCCTGCGGTAAATTTAGATAAAATTTCTGATTGCGTACTCTGTCTATCCTCTTTTATCGACTAGATTTCGGACTTGAGGTCAAAGTGGGCGCATGCTTTAATTCCCGATTTATGACCTGTACCTAATCGGCAAATACGTTTCAAACATTTTCGCTTCAGAGATCACAGTTCTTGCAGACACGCACACGGATCTTTCATGCTGTCAAAAGAATTTTTAATTTTTATAAAGTCGCATGAAATGGGAGTTTAGAATTTCACCAGTATTATTGTTTCAGATACCTTTCCAACGCTGGGAGATTTTCAATAGATATTGTTTGTTGCTTGAGTGCAATTAATTTTCAGGAGCTGAAATCAAGAAACTATTGGACGAAATTGTTAATTGTGAATTTACTCGTGACGCTAAGGAAGAGTTATTAGACAAGCCGAAAGAACATCCGCTGGAGTCTCCGAAAGAACAGTTGAAGGATGGTCCAAAAGTAAATTACTTAACTAATTAAAT